TGGAGGTGATGCGGTTGTCACTCATCTGGAAGGAATTCGAGAGGTAATTACAAAAGGCAGAACTGTGAGCGCAAGGAGCTGTAGCTACAGGTTTGGGGTATGGGGTGATGGCAAGGGGGGGCCCCCACCCTGCTCTGTTGATGAAACACAGAGTTTCCAGGTAGCTCCTGGGGGAGTGTCTCCCGTGCACCCTGCAGCTCCAGGCACGTAATAAATCTGCTGCTCCGATGCAGATAGCTCACTCCGATATGGTCTTTTTCTCCTCCACCAGAGGATAATGCTCATGCTCACTCAAGCTGCTCTGTAGTTTTGGTTTTTTTCCTCCTAATCAAACAAAGGGAGCTGTGCTTGGGCAGGTCCTGCCTGGTGAGATTCCCCCTGATGTGGCAGAGGCCGTCTGCACGGTTGAGCGCGCTCTAAAGTCTTTTTCTTCCCTTCCCCTCCTTGTTTCTTCCCACCAGGCTGAGCAGAGGAGCAGGCAGCAGTGGGTGCAAGTCTGAGACCAAGAGGCAGGAGATCCTTTGACACCATGCTGTAAACCTGGGGGTAAAGTCTTGGGTGACTTTGGTTCTGGCATCGTGCTGATATCGAGGTAATACCTAAAAATGTAATATCGAGGTTAGGAAAGTGAGTTCTGACTCTGTCGGGGCAATAGAGGCAACTCTAGCCCCTTTCGTGAGAAATTTGAACCATCTCCTGTGTATCCAGCCAGCAGAGAGGGGATACCTCCAAGAGCTTTTCATCACCTCCTCTCCATCTCTCTGTACCACTGCTCCTCTCCAGCATCCACCTCGGAAGCCTTTGTCTGATGATGGATGCCCTTTCTCAGGCAAGGCTGAAATTTTTAGAAGGGCCTCTGCGTGTTTCGTTTGCAAAAATACACATATTTGTAAAATAAGAGCGTGTTGGGTTGGTTCACCTGTGCTACCTAATCTCAGTTTAATTATCAGTAAAGTCAAGGCTGTAATTTAGGTTAATTGCTTAAATTAAAGCCTTTGGGTTAAATTCGGGCTGCTAACCTAAATTCAAACCCTACTCATTTGACGGTAATTTACTATTTCATCCCAGGTTAATGAAGTCCTGCTGGTCAGCCTGAGTTTCTTCCACGGGGGACCACACATCTCCCATCATCCCCGTGTGGACGGGTGCCTCTGAGAGACCTCCTGAGCGGGAGGCGAGTGTCCGTGAATCTCATTTCCCGAAGGGATGAATTAGGATGAGCTCCTCAGAAGCTTTCCCATAGGTGTTGCCTCGTGACGGGTGTTGCACTCCTTTGAGCCCGTTCCCAGCGGTATCTGGAGGCCAGTCAGCTATAACTACTGGATGACTTTGAAGTGTAGGTGTGACCTGCTTTCTCCAGATAATTGTTTTCTGGGCTAGCGCAGAGACACCGATGCAGCCCAGGGTTTTGGAATAACTTCATTATTGCTGTTGTTGCCAGGTGGTTTATAAAGAGCGGGGAGGTCTTGTTTCCCGTCACGTCTTGGAAGAGCCTCTGACCTTAGGTGGGTGTTAGCTGATGCCTCCTTTACCCCATTCTGCACGCAACGCTGGTGCTTGGGTGGTGGTAGCTGAAGAAACCTAAATATCCCAAACTGCACGGTGAAGCTTTCCGATCCTCTCTTTCACCCCTGAGTAGGGCTGCTGGGGCTGTGATCTCCACGTGGAGAGCGAGGTCTTTCAACACCGGAGGTTGTAGCAGCAGCACTGTAGCTTGTCATCCTTTCTCGTGGCTCCAGGGTTGGTCCTTTGTCCCAGTAAAGAAAACCAAGCCCTGGAAGTGGCGTTGCTGGAAAAATCATGTTATTTCAGGTCAGCTCCATGTGCCTGCCCATGGCAAGTCCCTCAGCTCCGTCCTGCACAGAGCGCTGCTCCCCGTTTGAGATTCCTTGCAAAGAGCTGTAACATTTGGGTGAAGTTTCATTTCTCCCTATTAAAACCTGGATCCACGCGATGCTGTTCTCGGAGTCGGTAAGATAAACAAGGGTTATTCACGTGTCCTGGGAATTGTTTCCCGTCACTGGACACCAATTTGATGGGGTCTCACGTTTCTTTACTTCTCAGTGCTGTGTTGCACATCAGCCCGAAGGTCCCCGCTGCCACATCACGGGATGATGCCGCCCGGTTTAAATAACAAACTCACAGATGGTAGCTGGGATTATTGTTCCGCTGCGTCCTCTCTTGCCTTCCCTGCAGCCATTTCGTGTCTGATTTCATTTGCAGGCTGTGTAAGCCATTTGCAAATTAGAACAAAAAAAATTCTTTGTTTTTGGTGAAAATCCTGCTTTAGAGTCAAAAAGCTGCAAAGTCTCATTTGGGAAGTGTTAAGGGGAGATGTTTCAACATTCCTATAGGAAATGTTGAAATTAAATGTTGGCTTACAAAAAAAAAAAGTCACCTAATGTTTAAGTTGCCACTTGTCAAGTTTGACCTGAATGTGTGAGTTTTCCAGGTCTCTGCAAATCAGGAGGAGGTAACTAGAGGATGACTTTTTGCATCCCCTGTCCACTTTCTCAGAGAAGAGGTGCCAGGATGGGCTCTTCAAACACTTCTTGCGGAAGAAGAAAAGCTGCTCCATGCCTTTTTTGGCCTCAACAACATCCTCGAGCTGTGGCAGAAAGACCCACCACAGGCTGACGGAGGCTGCGGAGACGTCCAGGTACCGCGGGGATGGGGCAGCATTTGGCAGCGCGACTCACAAATTGATTTCATGGAGGGTTCGGTGGTGGTGGCCCACGTGTTGGTACAACTGAGGGCACGGCAACATGTTGTGCACATTTCTGTTGAAAGAGCATAACAAAATAAACTGATGTTTGACGTTATTTTTTTAAAAATCATTGACCATGAAATGTAGTTTAGCAACAATATCCCAGCTGGGATGCCCAGCCTGGTCAAATGGCTCTGCTTTGCAAGCTTCACTTTACTTCCTTAAAACAATGAAGAAGCATGGTCAGATGCTCCAGAACTGGTGTAAATTATTGAATGAATGACTCCCAACCCATTCACCCTTCACAGAACCTCCACTGTTGCAAGTGGGCTGCCACAGCTACCCAAAGCCATCGTTTGTTGCCCCTTCCCACAGGCCAAAGGGGAAGACTGATGAGTGTGAGCCCCACTCCAGACCCATGGTAGGACCGTCAGGGCTTCCAGCCCTTGCAGGGCGGCTCTGTGCCCTTTCTCTTGCTCTGGGTCCCCACCTGCTGGAGACACCGCGCTGGGTTGTCCGGTGCTTTCACGCCTTTTTGCAAGGTGATGGGTGCGTGGAGTCCCGTTGGCTCAGGAGCTTGGAGCTATTTCCCTGTGGTGAGCGCTCCAACATTGCCTTGTGGACATGGGAGATGATCCCCCAGCCAGCTACACTAACTGTCTGCGGTCCTGCCTGGACGCACTCCCCAGCTGGAGTTTGCAGGGGATGAGGGTGGACACCAACCCATCACCTTCTGGGACCATCACCCCCAGTGGGCTGTGGGGCCCTTCCAGATCTTCTCCCCTTCCACCCTGGCCCCATTCCTCACCCTTGGTTCTTGCTCCTACGTTTGGGGCTGGGTTCCCACCTCACTCTGGGCTACTCCAGGGTTTGCTTTGGCCCCACAGCCTGGAGCAGATGGGAGCCTGGGGACAGCACAGGAGCTGACTGGACCTCCTGTCCTTGAAACTCCCCTGGGGTGCGGGATGGGATTTGGGAGGCCAGGTGCTGCGAGCACCTTGGAAATCCTCCAGGCTCATTCAAAACAAAGCTGAAGCCCCAAAATTACCCTTTCCAGAGGAGCAGCTTGAATATTTAGAGAGATCCTTGCACGTGCTTAGGAAACCACATGCACAAGCACCGAATGTGCAGATGTTGGGCGCTTTGTCCTGTGTCCCCCCATCCTTGGTAGTGCTGCCCCCTCCCTCCAGTTGCTTCTTCTGGTTTGGGTGATGTTGGGCTGCTCCATTCTCCTCCCTCTTTGACACTGTCCTCGACATGGGGTTACTGCTGGAGCTGTGTTAACTAACGGCTGGGTTGAGCCTCCCCGAGCATGTGCCATCTCATGGATCCCAGCTAAACCTTTGAGAATCTCCTTCCTCTTACCACCTCTCTGTGCTTTCTCACTCCTCTGGTGATGGGCAGGAAGGGCAGCTTCAAGGTTAACCACCACAGCAGGATTCATCCAGGTTTTCCTATCCATCCTTCAGTTCTCCATCCACCCCACCCTCCCCATCCTGGCCCAGAGCCCAAGTCCTAAAACCAAGTTTTCTTTCCTCAAAGTAACAATCCTTTCTGAAGTGCCTACAGAGAGTCCTCATGGCAGCTGGGGCACCGATACCCCAAGGAGCGAAGAAGAAATGCCAAATAGCAGCAGATTTGAAAAATGACAAATGCTCTTTATTGAAACATACAGTATGGAAGTGAGGAGGCTGTAGCCATGAGGACAATGAGTTAGAAATCAGTGCGGCAATTCACATACCCAGAAAGCAATAACCTTTCCCACGGATGCCTGAGAAAACAGAAGGGGCTGGAAAAAAAATAATCTGTAGTTGCAGACAAAATGTTTGGAGGCTGTAACACGTGTTGTGGACAGAAACTTTCAGAGCTGCTTCCATCGCTGAGGACGGAGGTTTCACAAGGCCATCACCCTTCTTTTAGGACGAATGAAATGCATGTGTGTGGCTGTCTCCGATCAGCAAAGCGCTTCCACTTCTCTTTAAATGCGTCATCCCGGGGGAGGACAAGGGAAGAGCAAGGACTGTGCTGAAAGAGGACTGCGGCCGGGCTCCACGAAGGCTCCCAAAGCCCTGTCCATCACCTGTTACAACCTGTGCTTTAGCCAAAGGTGCTCCGGATTCTCGCTTTTTTGGGGTCCTGGTCTTGCCTCCACTGCCCCGAAGGTGGAGGGCAGAGGAAGGAGAGGGTCTAGCGTAGCTATTTACACCATTAATCATAGGGCAGCCTGTGCTTTCAGAAGGCAGGAATCACGCCGTCATCCACGCTGGGGCGGGGGCTCCACGCTCATCCGCCCTTATCTGATGGTCTTTTTGCTGGTGGTGGTCTTGGAAACAATCCTCACGCTGCCTCC